CTGTGGTCCTCTGTGGTTCTTTTACATAACTGTGGTCCTCTGTGGTTCTTTTACATAACTGTGGTCCTCTGTGGTTCTTTTATATAACTGTGGTCCTCTGTGGTTCTTTTATATAACTGTGGTCCTCTGTGGTTCTTTTATATAACTGTGGTCCTCTGTGGTTCTTTTACATAACTGTGGTCCTCTGTGGTTCTTTTATATAACTGTGGTCCTCTGTGGTTCTTTTACATAACTGTGGTCCTCTGTGGTTCTTTTATATAACTGTGGTCCTCTGTGGTTCTTTTATATAACTGTGGTCCTCTGTGGTTCCTTCTTCCAAATTGTGAAGGCACGGTGAAATCAATATCGTAGCTTATGTGAAACGAAAACGCGTTTCTCGCTTTTTGTCCTTATTTACACGGATAGTCCTCCTCTCTCATGGACACTTATAAGTTCAATTCTAAGCCTATGAATACAATTAAAAAAACATGGTGTAGGTAAATAATTAAAAAGGTCACATTTGTTTTTAGTTAACATGTTTTTTTTCACATGGAGCAGCTGTAAAAATTACACAGGGTGGCTTTTTAAAACCAGATTTTCAAATGGGACAAAGCAAAATGATCTGGTTTTAAAAAGAAATGTCTGTTTTTTATTTTATTTTTCCTTTGTTATCTTATTATTTATTATTTATTATTATTATTTTGTTTTATTTGTTTTAATTTTTTTTATTATTATTATTATTGTATTTTTATTTTTATTTTATTTTTTTATCCCCGATCCCCTCCCCTTCCCCCCCCCCCCCCCCCCCATGATAAAACACAATAAATATCTCAGTCATAAAAAAAAAAAAGAAATGTCTCCTTTGGAATGAGAAAATAAAGCAGCAGTTCTTGAAATACAGTAAGAATAAATTGTTTTAACACAGTCAGAATGTTTCCGGGTTAAGACAAAAACCACTTGATTTAAGCAACATTACCTCACATATATATAATTTTTTGCAGTGTAAGGTCTAAGGACAGTGCTGATGATCCAGGACTCTCCACATTTATGGACTTTGGTCTCTGTCTCTTATGGACCAATGTGTTTTTAATCATTGCATCTCTTCTGTTTGAACCGTTTGATTCTCTGATCTGCTGTTGGCGAATCGACGGCTGCGTAACATCCTCGGAGATATCTACTGTTTCGATTTGGGGCTGTACAAAAACTGAAACACAATAGAGCAGAAATGGATGAAGTAGAACACAGAGAATCATTTTGAGCAGAGACACAACTTTCCCGGTGTCTGAGCCCAACATTCACAGACAGATTTTGACTTTATTTATTAGTTTTAAGACAAAACATTGCTTTGTAAATGCAGCAGCAGACTGACGGCGAGACATTTCAAAGCCTGCTCGGTCCATGTGAAGTCTTTGAAGAATGCTTTTAATTCTGCACGTCAGCCGCCCGCACTCTCCGTCAAACCAACTCCTGCACCCGCAAAACTTATAATTACTCTTTCTGTCACTATTTTCATGATAAATGTTTAACTTACCTCCTCAAAACAATAAATAATCTCCTCGGTGCTCTGTCTGACTTTACCCCTCTGAGGAATTTGCTCGCTAACAGCTAACTACAAAAATGTTTCTTGTTATTAAAAAAGATGAAATATTTTCCTCTGCCATGTAATTCTGCGCTGTGTGTTTCGAGAATCTGACCTAAAAAGGTTGATCAAAGCTGGTCGGTTCTCCAGCGCCTGCAGCAACCAATAAATTGGTCCGTTCCATGTTTTCCACCGACAAATTATTCTCCAGAGTCTCCACATTCTCAGTAGCAACTCAATTAACAAGAGACAGAGTTGTGAGGAGATGTATTCATGTTTTATGGACATTTCAATATTTTAGTATCGCACTCGCTATTGGCTCGGCCTCTTTTATGTCACAGCAAATGCTAACTATTTGCCAACTCTCATATAAAGCAATAGTTGTTTAGGTGTGCGCTGGGTTGAGTTCCCTCCAGGCGCTGCACACGCTGCTATAGTGCGTGCAGGGCTGCAGTGGAAAGTGCATGTTTAAGGCTCGCTTCCAGCTCCAGGCGCGGCAGACGCAGCACAAAGGACACGCTTTTGTTCTGTGAAGGAGTTATTTAAACGGAGACCAGTTTATAAGTTTGTATATATATATATAGGTTTCAGAGCTGAGAACTGTGTGAACGCACGAGTCTGCTCTGTTCCAATCAGAAAATGCAAAGAAAAGCATAAACATTAAAGTTAGATTTAGTCTTTGTGTTGTCTTTTCTATGGACTTTGAGTCTGGAGTGTAGATTTATTACTATAATTGTTATTATTAGACAATCATAATTTAGGAGATGGAGAGAATGGGCTGCAACCCCTCCTCGCCTCAGTCCTGGATCTACAGCCTCAGGACTGGGTCTACAGCCTCAGTCCTGGGTCTACAGCCTCAATCTTGGATCTACAGCCTCAGTCCTGGGTCTACAGCCTCAGTCCTGGATCTACAGCCTCAGTCCTGGGTCTACAGCCTCAGTCCTGGGTCTACAGCCTCAGTCCTGGATCTACAGCCTCAGTCCTGGGTCTACAGCCTCAGGACTGGGTCTACAGCCTCAGGACTGGATCTACAGCCTTAGTCCTGGGTCTACAGCCTCAGTCCTGGGTCTACAGCCTCAGGACTGGGTCTACAGCCTCAGGACTGGGTCTACAGCCTCAGGACTGGATCTACAGCCTCAGTCCTGGGTCTACAGCCTCAATCTTGGATCTACAGCCTCAGTCCTGGGTCTACAGCCTCAGTCCTGGGTCTACAGCCTCAGTCCTGGGTCTACAGCCTCAGGACTGGGTCTACAGCCTCAGGACTGGATCTACAGCCTTAGTCCTGGGTCTACAGCCTCAGTCCTGGGTCTACAGCCTCAGTCCTGGGCCTACAGCCTCAATCTTGGATCTACAGCCTCAGTCCTGGGTCTACAGCCTCAGTCCTGGGTCTACAGCCTCAGTCCTGGGTCTACAGCCTCAGTCCTGGGTCTACAGCCTCAATCTTGGATCTACAGCCTCAGTCCTGGATCTACAGCCTCAGTCCTGGGTCTACAGCCTCAGTCCTGGGTCTACAGCCTCAGTCCTGGATCTACAGCCTCAGTCCTGGGTCTACAGCCTCAATCCTGTAGAATAATGTGTTTTTAATTATTTATCATTGCATTCCTTGTGTTTTAACCGTTTGATTCTCTGACCTGTGATGATGAATCAACGCTTTGTAACTATATATAACGACTGCTTTGATTCAGGGCTACACAAAAATACATTGAAATGAATTAGAGTCGAACGTCTGGTGTCTGGTCTGTAACATTTGGCATGTTTTGGGATGTTTTAGGCGCCTCAGAGCGTAGTCAGATGGGCTGAGGCTTCATGAATAACTGGGGTTGTGTCTTATGATGATGAGATGCAGCTTTTGACACGTTGTTGAGAGAGAGTGATGCTGCTCCTGGTCAGACCCCATTTACCGCAGAAACATCCCAGCATCAATCTTTCACCGCCGTGTCTAACTAATGTCTTCTCTAACAACACGGCAAGAAGAGCAGACGGCTTCCCATTCAAAGCACGTCCAACAATAACCAAAATAACCCCAGAATGGATGATTTTAAGTTAATAATAAGAAAGTACAGTTCTGGTATGATCAGGCTGTTGAGGATTTGTAAAATATGTGTGAACTTAAAAAACTTAGCAATAGCTGGAGCCAATGACAAATGAAGGAGGGCAGGAGTTTCTCTCAGTTATGTTAATATTGAATTGTCTAAAAATCAAGATTTGAATATTCAGTTATAAATGTTGTCCATATCGTTCAGCCCTCGCACTCAGCACTGCGTTTTAGAGCCGGTTGTCTTAGTTCAAGTTCTTAAACCCAACTGAGAAAATAAATAAACACACCTGTGGGCCTTATTTTTATGTTTTATATATCAGCGTTTCTGGTTTTTATCTAGTTATTCCCAAGCCTCGGTGATCCAAGATGGCGTCTTGTTCAAATGAATGGCTTGTGCTCAGTAGTTCATGGGACTTCACGGAGACCGGGAGATTAGCAGAACTCGCCCATATTTGGGCATCGTCTGGTCCTCCCGGTTCTGCGCAGTGGACGAGCTCCCATGATGCTTTGCGCCAGATACGCATGTGTGGCTTTCATGCACGTGCACAGAGGGGCTCGGCCGCGCTCTGACCAATCAGAGCTGAATCAGAGCGGGAAGGAAAGGAGCAGAGTTTGTGGCAGTAAAGTGTGGATTTAAAGAAAACCGAAGGATTTAAGAAAAGAAAAAAAGGACACTAAAATCCCCACAAAATCCAATATTTCTGAAAGCTGTAGGTTCTCTGTCAGGTTCTCTGTCAGGTTCTCTGTCAGCTGAGGTCGAGCTGTTTTAATTTACATTGAGATCTATGGGACTTTCTTCTGAGTAGCCCACGTGAATTTAGTCTGCAGTACCACAGCGCCCCCTGTGGCCATGGGTGGGACAGCTTTAAGCGAGTAATACTCTATCCAGTTATTATTATAGATCCATGGTTATTTCATTGAATGTTCAGTTAATTAACATCACCACTCGAGAAGCCACAGTTTCTGCATGTATGTGAGATTCTCCCATTATGCTCCTTGTAAACAGAACGCTTTGCCTCAAAAAACCCTAAATCATACTAAGAGTAAATTAAAGACTTTCTTCTCTTGAGGCAATGCTGTTTTCCCCACATTGTCTTTTCGTGATTTGCTGGGTTGCACTGTCCTCGTGAAGTGCATTGAGTTGCCGTCCTGGATGCAATGTGCTTTACTAATACTATGCTCACTTCTTCTTCTGTCGTTACTGTCCATGTAGAGGCCGGTCCTGGTGTCATTGAGGGAGAGTCGGGTGCAGTTCTGAAGTCAAACCTTTGAGGAGACGTCTGTAAAGTCTGTAAAGTCTGTAAAGTCTGTAAAGTCTGTAAAGTCTGTAAAGTCTGGGAAATTATCAAAGCAAAAGAAAAAGTGGAAAAATCCTGAGTGTCTGAGGCTGAAACTTCAAACAGATCATTGCACGATTCTGTTTTGATCATGAAAGTGTTGCACTGAGCAGCAGGAGGCACAGGGAGGAGGGGGAGAGAGGAGGTGCAGGGAGGAGGGGGAGAGAGGAGGTGCAGGGAGGAGGGGGAGAGAGGAAGTGCAGAGAGGAGGGAGAGAGGAGGTGCAGGGAGGAGGGGGGAGAGAGGAAGTGCAGAGAGGAGGGAGAGAGGAGGTGCAGGGAGGAGGGGGAGAGAGGAAGTGCAGAGAGGAGGGAGAGAGGAGGTGCAGGGAGGAGGGGGAGAGAGGAAGTGCAGAGAGGAGGGAGAGAGGAGGTGCAGGGAGGAGGGGGAGAGAGGAAGTGCAGAGAGGAGGGAGAGAGGAGGTGCAGGGAGGAGGGGGAGAGAGGAAGTGCAGAGAGGAGGGAGAGAGGAGGTGCAGGGAGGAGGGGGAGAGAGGAAGTGCAGAGAGGAGGGAGAGAGGAGGTGCAGGGAGGAGGGGGAGAGAGGAGGTGCAGGGAGAAGGGGGGAGAGAGGAAGTGCAGAGAGGAGGTGCAGGGAGGAGGAGGAGAGAGGAAGTGCAGAGAGGAGGGAGAGAGGAGACACAGGGAGGAGGGGGAGAGGAGGAGGGAACGAGTGGAGGCGTAGAGAGAAAGGTTGAGAGGAGGGAGAGAAAGGAGAGAGAGGAGACGCAGGGAGGAGGGGGAGAGAGGAAGTGCAGAGAGGAGGGAGAGAGAGGAGGGAACGAGTGGAGGCGTAGAGAGAAAGGTTGAGAGGAGGGAGAGAAAGGAGAGAGAGGAGGCGCAGGGAGGAGGGGGAGAGAGGAAGTGCAGAGAGGAGGGAGAGAGGAGGCGCAGGGAGGAGAGAGAGAGAGGAGACACAGGGAGGAGGGAGAGAGGAGGGAGAGAGAGGCGGTGCAGAGGGGAGGGAGAGAGGAGGCACAGAGAGGAGGTGCAGAGAGGAGGCGCAGAGAGGAGGTGCAGAGAGGATGCATTGGTTTTGGCGTTTATATGATTAAATGTCCATATGTGTCGTTGACTGTGGAGTGTCCTGGATCATCACCACTGGACAGAAACATAATGGACGTGTTATACCTCATTTTAAAGCTCAGAACGGCCTGAAACCATCAGATACGATAAACTTTATTCATCTCACACTGGAGAAATGTACACGTCACATTTGGCACGGATAGAATCACTCTAAGAATATAGTCTGTGCAGGATATAATAATGTACAATAGTTGTTAAAGAAACAGCGGCAACAGCAGTGCAGGTTTTCAGTCCGAGTGCATTAGTGACTGAAAGTGACTTATTGTACAGTCTGACAGCGGTGTGGATAAAGGCGCGCAGTCAGTCCATGTTTTCAGTGATTCGGTCCCAATTTTGTTGAACCAAAGTGGGCCTCTTCCTAAAACGTTTGGTCTACATCGTTCACCGAGAGCACACTGTAGACCCGGGATAAGTCCAAAACCGAAACCAGGCCTTGAATATTCACCCGAACTGCATTTCTGTGTAAATTCCTCCACATTTGTGCCCACAGACCTTTCCCATACGGGTCATTAACACCGTGCCAGAGATGGATGGGAACTTCCTGCCCGGCGTGAAGCGTGGCGGTGTTCTGGTCCCCAACCTGCCGGCTGACCCGCTCTGGCTCTTAGTTAACATTCAAAACGTTGGCAGCCGAAACCAAGGTCCCATCCTCCCCAAAGAAATTAGAGGTGGTAATCTTTCAGAAAGCACTAACCTTCCTGGACCATGTAAATGTGAGGGAGGAGTATTGGCCTGGTTCCTCGGCGGGCCCCCTTCGGTGTCCCGTCCCCGCACCACGCCACGGCTGCGGTCCAACTCGCGTCCAATTTATGTGTGGCTGACAGCCCACAAGTGAGAAATGAAGGCAAAGGCTAAAAGAAGGTTAGCTTTAAACACCGCGCGGGTCAATGGGGTAAGAGGCTGCGCGCTAAATCACTGTCAGAGAAACTAATGACGCAACATTATCAGACACCCGGACACGGTCAAAGATTAAGTGCACCGTGTCAGGGCGATATTATAATCACAAGAGTCCATTCCAACCACATTTGTCTTTATTTTGCATAGACACTCACATATTCTGAAGGAGGATCCCACTAGAATACAGCCTTTGTGCGTGACAGGAGGAATCAGAACATATGGTTTCTGGCTGTTACGGCTTTGAGGGGAACGGAACAGCCCCCTTTTTGCTGCGAGGCCACAGGGGGGACTTAGTAATTAAAACTCTCTCTAACTTAAAATTAGGAACTCTCTCTGGTCTCTCTCTGTTCTCTCTCTGGTCTCTCTCTGGTCTCTCTCTGTTCTCTTTCTGGTCTCTATCTGTTCCCTTTCTGGTCTCTCGCTGGTCTCTCTCTGGTCTCTCTCTGGTCTCTATCTGGATTCTCTCTGGATTCTCTCTGGTCTCTCTCTGGTCTCTCTCTGGTCTCTCTCTGGCCTCTCTCTGGTCTCTCTCTGGTCTCTCTCTGGATTCTCTATGGTCTCTCTCTGGTCTCTCTCTGGTCTCTCTCTGGTCTCTATCTGGATTCTCTCTGGATTCTCTCTGGTTTCTCTCTAGTCTCTCTCTGGTTTCTCTCTAGTCTCTCTCTGGATTCTCTCTGGTCTCTTTCTGGTCTCTCTCTGGATTCTCTCTGGTCTCTCTCTGGTCTCTCTCTGGTCTCTATCTGGATCCTCTCTGGATTCTCTCTGGTCTCTCTCTGGTCTCTCTCTGATTCTCTCTGGTCTCTCTCTGGTCTCTCTCTGGTCTCTCTCTGGTCTCTATCTGGATTCTCTCTGGATTCTCTCTGGTCTCTCTCTGGTCTCTCTCTGGTCTCTCTCTGGTCTCTCTCTGGTCTCTCTCTGGTCTCTCTCTGTTCTCTTTCTGGTCTCTATCTGTTCCCTTTCTGGTCTCTCGCTGGTCTCTCTCTGGTCTCTCTCTGGTCTCTATCTGGATTCTCTCTGGATTCTCTCTGGTCTCTCTCTGGTCTCTCTCTGGTCTCTCTCTGGTCTCTCTCTGGATTCTCTCTGGTCTCTCTCTGGTCTCTCTCTGGTCTCTCTCTGGTCTCTATCTGGATTCTCTCTGGTCTCTTTCTGGTCTCTCTCTGGATTCTCTCTGGTCTCTCTCTGGTCTCTCTCTGGTCTCTCTCTGGTCTCTCTCTGGATTCTCTCTGGTCTCTCTCTGGTCTCTCTCTGGTCTCTCTCTGGTCTCTCTCTGGATTCTCTCTGGTCTCTTTCTGGTCTCTCTCTGGATTCTCTCTGGTCTCTCTCTGGTCTCTCTCTGGTCTCTCTCTGGTCTCTATCTGGATTCTCTCTGGATTCTCTCTGGTCTCTCTCTGGTCTCTCTCCGGTCTCTCTCTGGATTCTCTCTGGTCTCTCTCTGGTCTCTCTCTGGTCTCTCTCTGGTCTCTCTCTGGTCTCTATCTGGATTCTCTCTGGATTCTCTCTGGTCTCTCTCTGGTCTCTCTCCGGTCTCTCTCTGGTCTCTCTCTGGTCTCTCTCTGGATTCTCTCTGGTCTCTTTCTGGTCTCTCTCTGGATTCTCTCTGGTCTCTCTCTGGTCTCTCTCTGGTCTCTCTCTGGTCTCTATCTGGATTCTCTCTGGATTCTCTCTGGTCTCTCTCTGGTCTCTCTCCGGTCTCTCTCTGGATTCTCTCTGGTCTCTCTCTGGTCTCTCTCTGGTCTCTCTCTGGTCTCTCTCTGGTCTCTATCTGGATTCTCTCTGGATTCTCTCTGGTCTCTCTCTGGTCTCTATCTGGATTCCCTCTGGATTCTCTCTGGTCTCTCTCTGGTCTCTCTCCGGTCTCTCTCTGGATTCTCTCTGGTCTCTCTCTGGTCTCTCTCTGGTCTCTCTCTGGTCTCTATCTGGATTCTCTCTGGATTCTCTCTGGTCTCTCTCTGGTCTCTCTCCGGTCTCTCTCTGGATTCTCTCTGGTCTCTCTCTGGTCTCTCTCTGGTCTCTCTCTGGTCTCTCTCTGGTCTCTCTCTGGTCTCTATCTGGATTCTCTCTGGATTCTCTCTGGTCTCTCTCTGGTCTCTCTCCGGTCTCTCTCTGGTCTCTCTCTGGTCTCTATCTGGATTCTCTCTGGATTCTGGATGCGAGGCCACAGGGGGGACTTAGTAATTAAAATACACTCTATTAAAGATCGCAAACAAATATTTAGAAGAGGATCTGTTCCACCTGCCGCCGTCAGGAAGCGAGAGCCCGGCAACACGAGGGTGGCAAGTAATTCTCCCCCCAGAACAAACAGCCTCGAGGCGCGGTGCTGCCGGATTTGGAATAGATTATATCGGCGGCCATTTTGAAATTCAATCAATATACTGTGTGTTTGGATGGAGGCTCGTGCTTTGGGGAAATGACAGTTACAATTAATAATAATGCATTGGTTTTATACAGCGCATTTTTGGACACTCAAAGACACATGTGATTATTCATTCTCTCCAAACACTGTGGTGATAAACTACTGTAGCCACAGCAGCCCTGGGGCACACTGACAGAAGTGAGGAAACCTGTCTGGCCAACTGTCTACCACTTTGAATGAAATTAAAAAGATTAAAAACTAAAAATGGTTTGAGGAGTGTACACAGCCCACATGTAAAACACTGATTGTAAATCCAGCCTCAGTCCTGGATTTACAGCCCGTCTGCAGGTCCAGACCCCTCTCTCAAAAAATGGGCCTCCCCAAGGTTTCTCACTGGGTTTTTGTCATTCCATTGTCGATGCAGTAGGATCTAAGGACAGTGAGGGTCTCTCTCTGGACTCTCTCTCTCTGGTCTCTCTCTCTCTGGTCTCTCTCTCTCTGGTCTCTCTCTCTGGTCTCTCTCTCTGGTCTCTCTGGACTCTCTCTGGACTCTTTCTGGTCTCTCTCTGGACTCTTTCTGGTCTCTCTCTGGACTTTTTCTGGTCTCTCTCTGGACTCTCTATGCGCTCTCCAGAGAGACCAGAGAGAGACCAGAGAGAGACCAGAGAGAGACCAGAGAGAGACCAGAGAGAGACCAGAGAGAGACCAGAGAGAGACCAGCGAGAGACCAGAAAGGGAACAGAGAGAGACCAGAAAAAGACCACAGAGAGATCAGATAGAGATCAGTCTCTATCTGATCTCTCTGTGGTCTTTTTCTGGTCTCTCTGGACTCTGTCTGGACTCTCTCTGGACTCTTTCTGGTCTCTCTCTGGACTTTTTCTGGTCTCTCTCTGGACTCTCTATGCGCTCTCTCTGATCTCTCTCTGATCTCTCTGTGGTCTCTTTCTGGTCTTTCTCTGGTCTCTCTCTGGTCTATCTGGTCTCTCTATGTGTTTCTTATTGTTATTCCAGTGTATTTCCTGTCTTTGAATTGCTTGAATTTCTTTGTAAAGTTCTCCAAGGCGACTGCTGTTGTGAGTTAGGGCTTTACAAAAATGGAATGGAATAGAATTGAATACATAACTTATACAATACAAAATCTGGTCTCCGGTCTCTCTGGACTCTCTGGTATATCTGTTCTCTTTCTGGTCTCTATCTGTTCCCTTTCTGGTCTCTCGCTGGTCTCTCTCTGGTCTCTCTCTGGTCTCTCTCTGGTCTCTCTCTGGATTCTCTCTAGATTCTCTCTGGTCTCTCTCTGGATTCTCTCTGGATTCTCTCTGGTCTCTCTCTGGATTCTCTCTAGATTCTCTCTGGTCTCTCTCTGGTCTCTCTCTGGTCTCTCTCTGGTCTCTCTCTGGTCTCTCTCTCTGGTCTCTCTTTCTGGTCTCTCGCTGGTCTCTCTCTGGTCTCTCTCTGGTCTCTCTCTGGTCTCTCTCTGGTCTCTCTCTGGATTCTCTCTGGTCTCTCTTTGGTCTCTCTCTGGTCTCTCTCTGGTCTCTCTCTGGTCTCTCTCTGGTCTCTTTCTGGTCTCTCTCTCTGGTCTCTCTTTCTGGTCTCTCGCTGGTCTCTCTCTGGTCTCTCTCTGGTCTCTTTCTGGTCTCTCTCTGGTCTCTCTCTGGTCTCTCTCTGGTCTCTCTCTGTTCTCTCTCTGGTCTCTCTCTGGTCTCTCTCTGGTCTCTCTCTGGTCTCTCTTTCTGGTCTCTCTCTGGCCTCTCTTTGGCCTCTCTCTGGTCTCTCGCTGGTCTCTCGCTGGTCTCTCTCTGGTCTCTCTCTGGTCTCTCTCTGGTCTCTCTCTGTTCTCTTTCTGGTCCACATGTAGATCCATGTTTGTCCTCTGTATTGCCCCTGGTACTCTCCATTGTACCATGGTATCACACAGTATCGGAGCCGATGCAGTGGGCCGGTTGTGCACACATTTGAAACCAACCGTAACGCTTTGAAAACTCATTACTCCTCGGTTCTATCCACATATTTGTGAGGACTCGCCTTCAGTGTCTTTGCCGCGTACTTTATCTTTACTTTCAGCGCACAAACATTGGTATTTCCTGGAACGGCGGCAGCAGCAGGAGGCGGCGTGGCAGCTCCGAGCCCGCATTAGTGCCACTGCTGGAGGTTATGTGGACACCAGAGTCCGGGAAGCTCAAGGACGATGCCACCGCCGTAGATTAAACAACACTCGGTCTCTGTCACGACGACGGACCCCCCCCCCCCACACCCCCCACCCCCAAAGCGCCAAAGCTGAGAGGGCGAAGACCAGGACGCAGCCTAATCTTTCAAGTCTGTCGCTTCCAGGCAGCGGCCGCACCTGTTTTTGTGATGCCGCGGTGAGAGAGGGATCATTTTGGGGACGGTAATTATTGTGGTAATTATTCAGGGTGCAGGGTGAGACGATTAGCGGCTTTGGTGGAGGTGAGGACGGAGCATGTCATGAATGTACTTTTCGGGGAGAGACAGTTTGAATATGAAAATGTCAACTATTCTCATCACATTTCATATCAAACACGTCACAAGAGATGAATTATGTGTGAAATATACACGGCCAAAGA